CTGGTTGAGCGACCGCAACTCGGTAATAACATCGAAATCATTGGATTGTTTTGGCTGACATGAGCGGCTGTGCATATCAATGCATTCAACAGAGCAGAAAAACGGTTTTTCCTTGCCCTAGAAATCGCGTTTCCGTAAATCTTCTTGCAGCGAAAGTGGCAGCTTTTATTGCAATAAAGGCACTCGATCATCCGTGACAGGTCATTCTCACTTTTTTCACAAATAGAGCAGACATATTCTTCATCTAGATTGGACATTTCGTAAATAAGTGCCTGGGCAATCGATACCATCGACAGACCACAACATATAATCTACCAACACAAGGAGCTTCTGGGAACGATAGCACCAACTATACATCTGATCTCACTGTAGTTTGACACGATCCATTTGACAGACGTATATGCAGAGACCAACCGGTTGATGTTGAAACGTTGCGATGGCGTTTGTTGTTCGTTGTATGAATAGATGCCGATGACCACAGTACGATTCCGATATAAGTACCTGACCTGGTGGCTCCTGACAAACCTCGGAGATAACGTTGGGACCCCAGCTGCCTGTCCGAAACAATCCTTTGCAACCAGCGGTGAAATTTAAAGATGCAAAATTCCGCGAATAAACTATTTTTTTGATAAGGCTATGTACGAGCCGGTTTGGCTGAGTCCAGTGTTGCCAGTCTTTACATGGCGGCTGCGGCGTTTGGAGGGACGCCGTTGACTTTGTTCGGCGGCGGTGGTGGTGGCGTGCATCGGCGTATCACTATGGTGGCTGTCGAAATATTGAATTTAAACCAAAATATTGTATTACTGTATATGTGACTTGTTACAGATAATTTAATTTTGAATTTGTTATCGAAAACGCCATCAAAACATTTCGGAACAGTATCGGGACTATTTCCTAAGGTAGTTTTTTTCAGTAACTAACATCATCTCGGATTAAATAGCCTATTCAGTAGAGATGGACAGGTAAGGGTATCTTTACGCAAAAACCCGACCCGTACTCGATGGGTTTGGTTGGGTACGAGCATTCAAATAAATAAATTTTCAAGTTTGGTTCCGGTACAACAATAAATAATAAAAATAACCATAAAAGAGTGCTTAACGACGTGTTCGGGGTGTCATCCAAACCATTTGTGGGAGAGTTTATGCATCCGGGATACAGTTTGTTTATGGTATTTGTTTATTAGGGTTATTATGTGCCTTGACAAAAACAGAAACCTTAAACATAAGTATATATACAACACTTAGATTTTTTTGCTGAGATTGGTACCACCGAGCAGACTTGACATTTATTTTTACTGAGATCTCAGCAAAATTTATGTTTGTTAGCCGAGATCTCGGCGAAATTCCCGTTTGTTAACTGAATCTCGGCAAATTGTTCACTGAGATCCAGCAATATAGATTGCCGAGCTGCTCGGTGGTGACCATCTCGGAAAAAAACCGGAGTGTGTATATGTTCATTGAACTGTAGATGATCAGGAACGGATTTGTTTAGCCAAAACTCAAACCATACCCGTACCCGACGGATTCTTAAACTTAATTTTGGGGTTCTGATTGGGTATGTAAATTTAAAAAAAATCACATCTCGGGTTCGGGTCGGGTACGTATTCTCGAAAACTTTATGAATCGGGTACGGGTCGGGATCGGGTTTTTAAATTACATACCCGACCATCTGTATTATTCAGGTATGGTGGTTTTACCAAACCGATGACGGTGGTTTCGAATTACTGGGTTTAAATTTGCTCGACTTTCATAGTGGAAGCAACAATCAATACGAAACTAACGATTTTAAATTGGCTCACCACTTTAGTAGCCTATTGGTCCCAAGCAAACGATTAACGTACCCTATTCTAGTTGAAATTCTATTACTACACTATGTTTGTTTTGATTCGCTATGAAAGTTTGACAGATAACATCAGGGGTGTGTGGATTCATGCAGAACATGCAGGGGTGAGTGAAATAGCTTGGGACTGCTTGGGACCGTTGTTCTGGTACTGAGTGAGCCAAAAATAATAATGATTTTCTTCGGGACCCAGTGGTCTTAGAGTTACCTCTATGGTGGAAGTGCTTGAAACTCCGGTACATGCGAAAACAGTTGACTGATTTAAAAAATCAGGTCTATATTAATAAAACAATGTGCTTTTGTATAGCGTGGACCCCCGTTAACATGATCGTGCAAATTACCGGAGAACATTTTTAATTTGAAATTCTAGTAACCCTATGACCATCAGAAAAGTGAATTTCTGATAGCCTTATTTGCTGTTATGTTTAGATTCTGCGTTTTTTATTCATAACAACCTTACATACTACCTCTTTCCAAGTTACAATAAGTTAATCCAATGTTTAAACTCGTTCTTTAGTAGAGCTATATTGTTCCATCTCTCCTCTCGCAACATTTTAGTAAAATCGTGTACTGAACGTTTTTCACTATTTGAAAAATTATAGTTTATGCCTTGAGCAACAAGCCATAAAGCTGTTTTACTTTGGTATTGTTTTGAATCGATCTATTTAATATTCCTTCAGGATCATTAACGGTGACGAATATTTCAATAGAACAAAACTACACGCCGAAAGTGTGGCACCCGAACTCGGAGAACCGGGCTCCCGGGAGGCAATGAAAACAGACACCGAACAATGGAACTTAAGAGAGAGATTTTGGAGTTTATATTCAAGGTCAACCGAGTCACTCAAGGCAAACACAGGTAAAACACGATATATCCCTAAATTATAACTTTATGAACACTTGAAACTAAATTTCAGCACACAAATTACCAAATTTAAAGCAAACAATGTTTAATTCGCTGACGAAAACCCGCAAAAAAAGAAAAACAAGTCAGCTTTCAAGCGCGGCCTACTGCGATCGTACGATGGTATGTTGCTGTCCGGTCCAAAAACCAACTTTACTGTGTTCTTTCTAACGCTGTTTGCCATTTTTGCTCTTCCTATACAGAAAGGTTCCGCTTATCCAAAAGAAAAAAAAATGTGAAAACAATAGCTACAGAGGACTATTGTTTTAAAACACTCGCCGTTGGCGGCAGCGGCGTGTGAAAAAGTGCCGGCGACGGTGGCGCACAGGACTAAGTCGAACAAGGTAGAGATCCGCACGGAAAAAGAGCATGAGCCCGGCGGCCCAATTTTGTTTTCACAAACTACCTAGCAACTTTTATTCGCTCATATCTTTCGAGAAACCAATGTATCCACCATGACAGGCCTGGTTGTATCCAAAGAAAATTTATAACTATCTACTCAAACAAAAGGTTTTCGGCTAGAAATGACACAAATGTGATTGAATTTTTATCATTTTCCAGGATAATTTTAATTAGATACTGGTTGTGTATGCTTCAAGCTAGATTGTTGTGGAACGATGCCTATTTTAGAATTGCATTGCAAACATATAGATGAAAAAATAATAAGCAAATTGGAGATCAATCGTTCCATCATAAACCGTGAACTGGCACCGCATGTTTCAGGCGACGTCTTGTTGTTGCTTTACCTACTAGCCCGATTCTGTGATACCGCGAAACCAACAGAAACCCTTCGCCTGGTTCGCATCGCTTGCACGTGAATTTTTTTTCCTAAATAATTGATTCCTCAACGAATACATACTCTAACTACCACGTGCTTCGCAGTAACAGTAAACAAAACCCGGCACAGGAGACCGTACTCTCTTTTCTCTTTCTACAATCGGGAGAATCTCTCCACAACCCCCCCCCCCCCCCCCAATGATAGGTTGGCGCGCTTTTCCAAACTCTCCCAGATGATTCGCGCTGCATCGCCACCGGTTTTCAAACAGTATAGGGCTGTTGGCTGGGTGGGGTGGAAATCGCCTCATCTGGCAAGTGGCTGGGGCGGAGAAGGGCGTCATGCTTTTTGCTAGCGATGAGGTTCAAGTTTGAATTCCCAGCTGCGTTTGACTTCAGTCTAGCCGTGACCGTGGAATCCGTTGGTTCGCTTTCCGCTTCCCTACTTCCGGTACGCTCTCGTTGGGTTTTCTCTCTTTGTACGCTGTTGCTGCAGTAGTGAAAGTGGTCCACAGGAGACCCCTAGACAGACAGTCCGGGACAGTAACTTAATCATAAGTGGGCGACCTATCCCTAGAGTGTAGTGTGTTTGGCTGTTAGTCTCCGCATCTTGCCTCCGTTTTTTTTATAGTGATCTAGCATCGTAGTGTGTCATTTTGTATTTTCGATTCCAAACTGTCTCACCATCTTCGTGTTACCCTAAGTGATAAGAAATATAAACAATATCATCCTATCGTCTACCAATGGTGTGTTACAACCTAAATGCCGCAAATCTTATTCCTGTTTACACTGAGTGAAAACAACTACTGAAATTTAAACGGTCGTTCGTAGAAAATATAAGCAAATAGGTGATAAGAACTGTTAATTGAATTAGCGAATGTTTATGGAATGAAAATTTTGCAATCTTACGCACCAAATTGAGGGAAATCCAACAGCACCAAACCACCAGCATGTTAAACCAACCAACCGGATCAAAGAACGTGCAAGTGACGACCTAAGCCGAAAAGAAAACTCGCATTCAAAGTGAATGTGTTTACCAAAGAATAATACTACTGGTGAGTGGATCTCTTCGCCTCCCGATTTGCAGGAAAGATATCTTTTTTTGTGTGCGAAACTCATCAAGAGGAAATCAACGGAATAAGAAGAACTCTTACAATTTCCCCGGTAGATTTGTTCCAAACAAAAGCGGAAAAAGTTGCTGGAGAAAAGTTTTCTGTGCGCGAGTGCTCTACCACTGTTGTGTCGTGCAATTCTGTGATAAATATAAAACCGTCTAATTAAGTGAATTCAGCACGTTGTCGGTCGTTCAACGTTGCATTTTTTCGTCCTGACATTTTTGGAAGGTTTATCCCCAATAACAGATCTACCAAAGACGATGTGATGCTCTCTAGCTGTGATGTGTGACATTTGGCGAGGAGTTGCTGGTTTTAATTAATTAAAGTGCAGTCCATTAATTGGACGGGAAAGTTTCCCTCGTTGGAGAGTGAACTTGTTTGTCCGTTCGATTAGTCGTTGGTTTCAGGTTAGTGACTTGACATTTGTTTTTATTTTGTTTATGAAAGTTGGGTTTTCCTGGTGAATTATTTCTGTGTGACACGGCGATTTAATCCTCGCATTAAATCAGTTAGGGCCTTTTCTGGGTATGAGCCTGAGCATGATTGACCACCGTGGATGCAACTCCGTTATTGCCAGATCAGCTGTAATTACATAGAGAGCCAATAGACGTTGCTTGGGACTAGCAGTCATCTTCAATGAGTAAATACTGGTGATATAAAATTATGCAATACCAGCGAACCTCATCCGAATGCTGGTTAAGAAAGGAATGGGTGTTGGGGGTTGCAGCAGGATTCGTTTTGGTAAACGATATGCTGCATTGATGTCCTTACGATTCAATAGCGCGAAGGAGCTTGGGTTTGAACCCACGGTCTTCGGCTCAATTAGTAAAATCGGTCACCACTAGGCCACCGAGCTCCTTATATCACAATTCAATTACGATCAAGTTTTCGTTCGACTTGCTGTTATCCCGGCGGCAGCCTCACCGACGACGACAACAACTGCTCTTGAATGGATTTGAAATGAATTTCCAATCAACGCGATTTTTTTTACGGTTTGCATCATATTATGAAAGAAACCCAACTTAAAGTATAACTCTGTAAGTAATGTGAAGAAGCTTGGGATTGAACCGATGATTTTTGGCTCAGTAAGTAAAATCGGTCACCACAACGCAACCGAACTCCTTATTTTACGACAAATGTCCTGTTCAACTTGCTGTTACTACGATAAAAACTACTCTTGAGAAGGATTTGGTATAGATTTCCGATCAACACGTCTTTCCTAAAACACGAATATTATTTCTTTTACGTACTTGTTCCTCCAACCGAATTTCAATACGCTATATCTTATCTTGAAAATAAATCCAATTTACAGTAAAACTCTATAATGCAAAGGAGCTTGAGATTGAACCCATAATTATCTGCTAAATAAGCAAAATCGGTCGCCACTAGTCCACCAAGCTCCTTATATCACAGTAAAATTACGGTCAAGTTCCTGTTCAACTTGCTGTTACTGGATTTCGGTCCCGGCGGCGACCTCACAAAAGACGACAGCAACTGCTCTTGAGGAGGATTTGATGTGGACAGACACACGGACAATCTTCTATTCAGAAAGCAAAAGCGACAGGCTAGCTTGATCCGAGATTCTCAATAAAGTTTTAGGGACGTTATTTGGTATAGATTGAATTAAATTTAATCAAATAACTGGAAAGGATCTCATCCAAGTGATCTGTAATTAGCCACCCTCCATGTTTTAAAAGCTTAACATCAATCGCTCTTGCAAGTTTGCCACTTATAATGTATATGGGGAAAACGCTCCTAAAACATGTTCTGGTCATAATTAAAGTTTTTCTACAAGTTTGAGGTTTTGTGTTCTGTTAAGATTGTTGATTTAAATCATATTCATCGGGACATACTTACATATCGCCCACAAAACGCACGAAGATTGTGATTCAATCATTTATCGGAGGTATGACCAAAATAGGAACATATGGCCAATACTGGAACGCTTACCCTACATATTCAAAAAAAAAGTTAGCTTTATCACGTCATTATTTCTAAGTAAAAAATACTGAACTAAGAAATCGCAATTTAGGCCTTAATAAAAGAGATTAGCGCGATTTAAGATTTCAAACCCTCAACCCCTTAAAATCCCGACTAAGCCTCAATTGAGTAGATAACGAGAATACGGGTGTAAAATATAAATCTATAGAATTTCCATCATCGATGGGCTGAAAATAAATTTTAGTCAATAAACTCAACCTGAACGACGGCTGAACAAAGGTGAATCTAAAGATGATCTATCATAGAAGAGCTGAAAATAAACTTAAATAATTTAATTCAATCTATTTTGAAGGAAGGCTGAAAAAACAAATCAATAAACTCAGCCTGAACGAAGGCTGAAAAAAGTGAATCTAAGGATGTCTCATCATCGAAGAGCTAAACATAAACTATATTTTTTAGACTTTATTAGAGAGATTAGTTGTTGCTGGTTTTTTTGATTGTGGTGAACTTAAATAATTCAAATCAATAGATCCAATGGCAGTTCGAAAACATCTGTGTTCCAAATGTTGTGCTGTTAATTCTTCAGCTGCACGGAGAATAACGATACTTCAATATAATTGTCACTGCTTTACACCTTAATCACCATTCCCATTCTTACACTCAGATCAGCGAAAAACCAACCAAAGCTAGATAATTTTCTTGGCATGAAAGAGAAAATAAGATACATTCAACGAACTGGCCAACATTTAAAGGGATGCACATTAGACTGATGCAAAATTTGAAATTTTCGCTCCACAATGCATAAGCGGTTAAAAATTGGGTCCTGGTCATTAAGGTGCCAGTGTCATCCCAAATTTCAAAAATAAACCCCCTTCAAAATGTTTATTGCCTCGAAAAATTACCCTCTGCAAAATTTGAGCTCAATCGTATTCGATTTAAAGGCTGACTAAAAGTAAATTGGTACGCACAAAAAGACCTGTAATTCGTGATTTAATTCAAAGTTTAAAAAGTACATTCATGGTTGCTTCGCAGTACTTTTATTAAAACTTCAAAGTTACAGCATTAGATGGCTACAGATTACATTTCCCCAGTTCGAACGAAATCTCGAACCTTCCTCTTGATGAAGCCCATCAGCGCCCGCACAGTGGAAACGGACACAGAATCAGCGCATTTCTTGCATTTGGCCCGCATTTGTTGGATGTTCTTGACTGCCCCGTCGCTTCGTCGAAGTCGCTGCTTTGAAATTGCCCAGTATTTTTCGATTGGTCGAAATTCCGGGCAATTCGGAGGATTCAGTAGCTTGGGGACAAAATCAATCTTATTGGCAGCATACCGCTCCAGAACCACCTTGGAGTAGTGGCAGCTGTCCAAATCCGGCGAAAAGATGACTTTGCCCCAATGCTTGCGGATGAACGGCAATACACGCTTTTTCATGTCATCGTCAAGAAATGGTTCCGTTTTCAGGCCACAACTGCAAATCGCTTGCCAAATCATGGCCTTCTTCGTGAACTTGTCGGCAAACACAAACTTGAATCTTCCCGGCACATCCCCTCGTCCAGTCGCGATGCAAAACTTTTGACCGGGAAGCTGCTTAACATTGAGTTTGACATATGTTTCGTCATCGATCAAAGTGAAGCCCTTGTGTTTCTTCAAAACACGGTCGAACAAGAGCCTTGCTCGCTTTTTGGACACGGAATTCTGCTTCATGTGCCGGTTCGGTTGTTTACTGGCTTTGTACGACTTGAATCCTTCCCTGGCAAGAATGTTCCGCACCGTTTGAAAGTTGGTGTTGTACATTCTGGTCACATCTCGGATCCAAAGACCGGGGTTGGTTTTAATGCATATCAACACCTTGCTACGCAGCTGACGATCCCTGGTTCCAGTTTTTTCGTAGGTCAGCTGATTACTTTCCACACTCAGAGTTTCCTTGTAGGTTTTGAAAATTCGACAAACTGTTGTTTTCGGCATCTTCAGCACTTTAGCCAGCGTGGAACCGGACCACTCTGGATTTTCCAGGTGTTTGTGCACAATATTTTTTCTTCTTTCGAGTTCCATTTGATGTTATTTCTGAATGCGATCGACTACTTAGATCAAACTTGCACCAAGTTGTTCTCTATAGAAGTGTAAACAAACCAATGTCAAAGATTTTTGATTTACAACACTACCCAAGTAACAATTTAAGTTTTATAAAACACTACAAGGGTACTATAAAACAACAACTATAAAACACTGGTCAAGGCAACTTTAACTTCATTACTTCCACCAAAACCTCATGTAAACCAGAATCTGTCTAGTTGGCCCACTCTGGAGAAGGTTCTGAAGTGTACATTTCCGAAGCATTTTAAGATAGAATTGCAGTAGAAATAGAACATGACATAAGTGTTGAAAGCTATTTGAAAACCGTATTTAAACTATAATAAAAGCTGTTTGGCATCAATATAAACCTTAAAAATGCGATTTTTCCTATGTGCTTGCTAAATCTGCTTAGAATGGCATTTACCATTTCAAAGAAAGGATTCATAAATACCACCCGTTCTGCACAAATCCATTTCAACAATAAAAAAACATATCTATCACGGAACAGGACAGTATAATATATACTTCAATTTATACATTAACGAAGTGGTATATTTTTTTTCCTCTGTTCGGTACATAAAACCACTGCGACCAGTAATTTGATCTATTGTAGTATATCCCGTGTCCTTAGTTTAGTGCATGTCGTATTACTCCATCACTATTGAGAAATGATGAAGTATTCGGTTTTGATACAGTTGTCATTCTTGCCTTTATCGCAAGGAATCGATTCTAATTGAAAGGTCCCGCTATTTATACCCTTCGGAGTGTTGAAACACCCTCCAAAGGCGCGCCCCTTTGTCAGTAAAAATTGGATTCCTTAGCAAAAAAAAACAAGACATGACACCGATAATGACCATGCATCAGAACCCTAGTCTTGACCACTTCAAACTAGGAAACAACGAATAGAAGATTAGGAATCACATAGGTGAAGACTAACTAACTCATTTTTCCTTGTTTCAAGATCATCCTCGGTCCACGCAACCCGAGGACTTATCACTATCAACAAGGCATAAAAAGTAACAAGGACTAAGATGTGTTCCTTTGATTACTGTAAAATCCTGTTCCCCTAGTTTGAAGTAGTCAAGACTAGGAATCGGTGGTAGATCTTACATCCCGTAACGTACCACGAAAAGGTGATCTACCCACGTTACGGGGCAAGTGGTATATTAACAATGCTTCTAAATGAAAAAGACACTCTAATATTAGTTAACATTTTAGTGCCAGATCAAATGCATCGTAAAATGATCATTAAAAAATCATTAAAAATAAGTTCGCCCTAGAAAAACTTTGATTTTTACAAATTATTTCGAATCGTAAAGTGACTTTAACGAAGTTTTCCTTATTCCTGGGCAGGAGGTTGACACCTGTGAAGCTGACTGTAAAATCCAGA